TGCTGATGGGATGTCCAGCAGGCATCGAAAGCTTAATGTGTCCACAGCTGAGTTCCCACTCTTGCCCCCACCTCTGCAGCGGCTCCTTGCACTGGCTGCTCCATCTTAGTGCATGGCAACCCCGTTGCCAGGTGTTGGTTAGTGCCAACGTGCCAAGGTGTCAGGCCATGAATGTTGAAGCCTGGTTCTTCACACCACTTCAGAGCTCCCTGTGAGGCTGGCTGAGTCCTCTCTCCAGACTCTCTGACAGTCCAGCTTTCCTCTCTGCCCAATCATGCTTTCTTCCCTTCCCTTCCACAGGTATTGACTCCAGGAGTTATCCTTAAACTTCTTGTACCCTAAGCAGTTTCCATCTCAGATTCTTCTTCTAGGGGAACCCAACTTACCAGACCTTGAAACCCAGGAATCTTGACTGTTGCATAATACCTCATAATTGTACCTAGAAAACCAGTTGAGTTGACAAAGTACTATAGGCCTGTACAGTGTGCTCACTTATGGATTTTCTTTAAAATACAAAAAGGAGAAGGGAAAATACCACAATGTTAGACCCTATATGTCCTTATTTATCAAAAAGTAAAATTTAAGAAAGGATTTTGCTGAAAATAATTAAGGACTATAGTCTCCAGCTGCACTTCTCTTGCATGACTAATATATTAAAGATATAAAAATTATATAAAAAACCATCTACCATTGCTCATGGATAGGTAAAATTGCCTGATAAGATTTCACTGGTGTGTCACATGGCCACTGCTAGGTTATGTTGCTGTGATGCTGCCAAGTCACTTCAGTCGTGTCCGACTCTGTGCGACCCCATAGATGGCAGCCCACCAGGCTCTTCCGTCCCTGGGATTCTCCAGGCAAAAACACTGGAGCGGGTTGCCATCTCCTTCTCCAATGCATGAAAGTGAAAAATGAAAGTGAAGTCGCTCAGTTGTGTCCGACTTCTAGCGACCCCAGGGACTGCAGCCCACCGGGCTACTCCGTCCATGGGATTTTCCAGGCAAGAGCACTGGAGTGGGTTGCCATTGCCTTCTCCAATGTTGCTGTGAAAAACAACCTCAAAATCTCAGTGGCTAACAAAACAGATTTGTTTCTCACTCATAGGGTCTGTTTCACATGATTTTCTTACTCCAGGATCCTGATTAAAGGAGATGAGCTTAACTTGGGCATCTTGTTCTCATGGTAGAGGGAAAGAACAGTGGGAAAACCACAGGTGACTCTTATAGCATCTTCTTGAATGAGGCATGTGCTACTGCAGCTCACAGCTGTTTGGCTAAAGTAAGTTATGTGGCTAAGCCTGACCAATAAAATCCTTCCCCAGGAAGGGATTTTGCAGGAATAAATTCACTAAAGAGGGGCAGGCAATGTTTTGAAGAAACGATACAATCTACCACAACTGGTAACATGAGTGTCTAGAATCTGACATCTTTAATAAATGTTTCACCTCCTTGAGTAATTCCAGGCCGAAATCACATGAAATTTCCTGTGTCAGTCAAATCAACAAAATATTCTGCAGCACTCTTCCTGTAGTCATTAATGAATTCCAACATTTCAACTTTAATAAAGGATGATGGGGGTGGGGGTAAATGAGGGCAGTGAAAAAGAGCTATAAATAAAACAGTGAAACAGCAACACACTTCTAAATTCACCCAAATGTGGTTATAGTCATCAGTGGCATTTCTACTCTGAGTTTGGCAAAAATCCATGAAGGATGTCTGAAGATAAAGACTGGGCCCCTAAGTGAGCCCATGTGAACTCATGTTTTCCCTAGCTGCTTCTTACGTTTACCAGCCTTATTTACCATCATCATCATTATAGATATCATAAACAACATACTTTTATTAGTCACTTCATGCTTTTCTCTTTCTCCCATTTGTGATGATCTTATGTGTATTTATAGGAATCATTTTAAATGTGTCCTGGAAAAATATGTAAGGCTACTATACATACATTATTTAGTTATCTTTAAAACAAGATCTGACAATGTGAACAGTACTAAAATGATAGAGTGGAAGAATGAAGACAAGCCCAAGTTTATTCAGATGGGTTTCATTCAGAGAGGAGTTTGGGAGTTATCTTGAGTTAAGGTAGCCTCAGAAATGGAAGAAAGGGCACTGCTGAAGGCCAGAAAGAAAGGCTTGTTTTTTTCAAGACTCCATTTATTCAAAAAATAATCAAAATATCAATCAAAACAAATATGAAAGGCCAAGGTACAAAATGAAAGATGATCTAAGCAGCAAAGAGGGGTCAAACACAGAGAAGATAAGCAAAGGACATCCTGATGGAGACACAGACTGAAGCGCTCTCCTTACTGAAAGACACTGCACGTCCGGTCCCTTCCTGCCTTTCCAGAAGTTATTACTCCTTGACCAGAAGTTAAACATGCCACATTTCCCAGCCATGTTACTCAATGCTATTTGTGAAATTAAAAACACCTACATATACTAAGGAATAGAAAGCAAAACCCATACAACTTGTGAAGTGAAACTTGGGACTTCAAAGACATTGCTCTTTTCCAAAGAGTCACTTTAGGCTAGAATCTAGTAGTTCTTGGGATGCACGTTTACTCTCTCTCCTCTGCTGCTGGAAGCAAGTTGGATAAGCATCAGCCCAGGAAATAATAATCCCAGTGTTCATGGAATTAGTAACAAGAACTGTAAATTAAAGAATGTTTGTGCTTATGGACAGATGTGTTATGGAGGTGTTAAATTCTAGAAAATCTTCAAAACAATGCAGTATTTCTGATATATTCCACTCTCTGGTATTATTGAAATAGCTAAAATATGCTTTTATAGAAAAGGTTTGGTTTTGATTTTGATAAGCATTTTCACCCATTGAAATCACAAGCAACCTGTTTAAGGCGGCTCACCTCACAATCACAGTGAGTCTATTTTCTGGAGAGTTCCTTACAGTTTCAATAATCCCACCTGGGACCAGAAAGAGTTAAGGTCAGTCATTGTGGCAATGTGTTCCCCAAAACACATTTGGGGTACCGAGTCCTCTGGTCACAATGGGGGACCCTGGGCCCCAGGGGAAGGGCAAACTGGGGGTGCTCCATGTTATGGGTGCAAAACGATACAAGGAAAGACGGCACAGGGGAACAACACAGGGTGAGAACAGCGCCCTCCTGCGGTGATGTCAGAACCGCATCACTGCGCAGCAGAGCCTGAAACATGGTAAGTCCTTAATATTAGTAGATGCTGTTATTGCCATTAGTTTAAGAAGATATGTGGTAGATGCCCATGGAAATAAAAGACGATCCCAAACTCCACTTTTAAAGGGAACCGCAGTTTTCGAGAGCAGGTCGGATAAGTATGATGAAATACAAAAGGCAGACTCCCTCTCCCAGCACAGAAGTTTCACATGAGAAAATAAGAGAGGGAGACTACGAATTTAATGAAATTTAATGGATGTGGAGAGAAGCTCTCATCAGAGGCACATCTGAGCTTACATCTCGTTATACATCATAAATTCCCACAGGAGAAAGGATCCAGTTAAGATTATACATGTGGTAAAGGCTTTTATTATAATTCAGAGATTCTTTACACGGAATAAAACCTCCAGGTATAATGAATGTGGAAACACTTCAGTCCTTGTTCCCCATATCCTTCATCACACAACCCATACTCTGTGCATCTCCAGCGCCTTGCTGGGCAGAAACCTCACGAGCATAATGAATGTGTGACCCTTCAGACTCTCCTAGACATAAGAGAGCTCACACTACCAGTGTTCAGAGTCCGACTTTGCATCTCTCTCCCTGACCACTCAGATCCTCATTAGCTGTGTGCTCACATATTTTTGCCTCTTGATTATATCTGAGTTAGGACAGTCTGCTCTTGATCAAATCCTTTTAGGACTAACTTCTAATGGCTCACCTGCATTTACAGACCATTGTCAGAACTGTCCAAAATGTCTCTCTGTGCAATTTTTAAGTTCTAGGCAAGAAGCTGAAGGACATCAGGCATAAGATGTGTCTGTGTCTCTCCTTCCAGGAAAAGACTGACTCTGCAAGATAAAGGAGCATGTAAGAAGTGAGAAGTAGGAATGAGTTCAGATTTCTAGGACAGTGGTCTCCTGCAGAGGCCAGAGCATTTTTACACGGGCTGGAAGAAATACATTTGATTGCATAGTGTCAACCTGAAATCTGAAGTTTTCAGGAGAGGAAAGATGCCCAGATAAACCATATTCATACAGAAAATGTCAGGTAGGACATGAGAACAATAACATCAGAGAAGACTGATAAGTTTTGGCAGAAAATAAGGAATTGAATGGGAATGATACTATTATCTCACATGTGTATATATAAATTAACAAAGTATAGGTTATGAATCAAGTTAACTTGAAATTTTAGCCAAAGGAAAGGAATGCTGTGTTAAAAAAAGAAGCTATGGTGAAAAGGGAGGAACAGCTAGAATCAGTAATGGAAGAGTATCTTGTCTAATAGAAACACTAGCTAACACTTATGGAGCACTTACTATATGTCACATATGATCCTGTCATATATATTCGAGGTATTTTACATGTATTATTGTTACCAAAGTGCAAGTTCATGTATCGAATGCACAGTGAGACCAAACAATACCAAAACGTTGGCGTTTGGAACAGAGAAAGGTTTACTGCAGGGCTATGCAAGGAGATGGGTGGCTCATGCTCTAAAAATCCCGCACTTTGGAAAGCTTTCAGCAAAGCCCTTTGCTAGGAAAGGTGAGGGAGGGGTGTGGTTATTTGTGGAAACTTTTTGTCAGATTCTTTGTTCCAGAGGTCAAGCCATGGGCAGCTAACCAAATTCCTATAAATGTCCACCAAACAAACGGTATTCTCTATTCTGACAAGAAAAAGCCATGTCCCAAGGCACAAGTGTCCCCCTCTGAGGCCCAGGTCCCAACTAAGAGGAGGCAGGTCTCAGCTGGCAGCTCCCGCAGGGCCAGGCTCCCAGGCCCTGCCCGGTGGTCATTGCTGAGGCAGCCAGGCGCCCAGACCCCAGCTGGTCCGCAGGCTCCTCAGGCCGCCAACACGGTGGAGGTCAGGTCCTGCACGCTGCAGATGGCCACTGCCATCAGGGCACAGAGGCTGGAATGGGGCGAGGTCACATCCTGCACGCTGCAGATGGCCACTGCCATCAGGGCACAGAGGCCGGGATGGGGAGAGGTCACATCCTGCATGCTGCAGATGGCCGCTGCCATCAGGGCACAGAGGCTGGGATGGGGTGAGGTCACATCCTGCACGCTGCAGACGGCCGCTGCCATCAGGGCACAGAGGCCGGGATGGGGAGAGGTCAGGTTCTGCACGCTGCAGACGGCCGCTGCCATCAGGGCACAGAGGCTGGGATGGGGAGAGGTCAGGTCCTGCACGCTGCAGATGGCCGCTGGCATCAGGGCACAGAGGCTGGGATGGGGCGAGGTCACATCCTGCACGCTGCAGATGGCTGCTGCCATCAGGGCACAGAGGCTGGGATGGGGCAGAGGGTCACTGCCACTTGAAGGCCTGGGCCCAACCGGTGGGCAGCCTTGGCAAGGGCTCTGGAGCCCTGCAGGACACAGCCCCCCGCCTGTTCCCCAGCCTGAGGCAGAGTGAGCTGGAGGGCTGGGTGAGCAGGACAGGATCCACCACTTCTCTCCCTCCTCACCCGACAACCACCACTCTGATGCCCATTGGCTGAATGAGCCACTTCCATGTGCTCACTGACAGTTGGTCGTCTGGGGGAGAGGCTCACTGCAGCACTGGCCAATGACTGAGCAGGGTCACTAACAGTCTCACTCATGGACAGTCACTTGGGGGGTGGGCCCACGGCAGCCCCGACCAGTGGCTGAGGAGGACCACTATTGGTCCCTCGGCAACTGTTGCCTGCTCAGGGGATGTGGGGTGATGGCCAGCAGCAGTGGCAATGTGCCAAGGGCTCCACTCTGCCCTGCTCTATTACATCATATCTGTATTTTGCAGACGGTAGACTGAGGCACAGAAAGGTGATACAAGGAGGATTTAAATGCAACAGTCGGGAATCAGTGTCTGAGTTTTTAAGCTCTTTTTCTCTAAGATTAGAGTGACCAATGTGGGCTGAGAGAAATCCATAAGCTAACAGAGTGGAATCATGGAGATGATCTCAGTTGGAAGTAAAACGAGAAAGAGAGAAGTGAAATTCTTATAAGATTGGCATCCTGGCCAGACACCCGATATAATAATGCAGTTTAACTCAGAGAGAAAACTGGCAGAGAAACGAATGTAGTAGAGTGATTGGCAATTTTGGCAGTGGGGAAAGCTGTTGTCCAAATGCCCTCCCTTCCTCTGCTTGAGTTCTGAGAAACCAAGGCTGGCAGAGGCGGTTTCACACCAAAACTGCAAGGGATGCAGAGGAGTCACAGGAACAGGGTAGAAACTGAGTTTTGAGGCAGGCAAATGGTCCCGTTTTCAAAAAGCAGGCAGAGTGGGTGGGGGTGAAGAGTCTGCAAATTATGAAGGAAGGCTTAATGTCAACCCACATCAAAATTCCATATTTAAAAATATAGTTTGTGTGCATTAGAAATGAAGCCATCTGAAAGCTACTGAATTATACTTATTTTGCAGGGTGAAGATAATATTCTAGATGTAGGTCAATGGTTTCCAGTTCTTTCAACTTCAGCCTTTCCTGGCTGGAATCTACTGTGCCCAGGTGAGACAGGACACCAGCCATCTCAGAGGCTGGGTGTGCTGGCGATGGGAATCTGGAATCAGTCCTTCTGTCACCAACTGGGTATCCAATGAGCCTGAAGTTCTGGTTGGCTGCCTAATTCTACTCATCATGGGATAAGCCTAGATCCTACGACGAGGCTTCAAGCTCCTTTTGCTTCCTCTCTAATTCTAGAGTGTCCTGGAGGCTTACCCTTTGCTCTCACCCTCTGGTCCAGCTTTCTTTTGTTTCAGCCTCTGATCCACTGTAAATGGGACTGATGGCCAGATGCACAGTGTTATCTATTTTACATTTATATGTTTCTTTATAACAGACAGGAATTAGTAGAATTGCTCCTCATGTGCAATTTCAGTGTTAGTAGATACTACCAAGCTGCCCTCCAGTGTATCCGCTCAGACTCACACACCTGTCAGAGTGTGTGAGAGGACTTGATCACCCATACCCATGCCAATAACACCACTTTTTAAGGGGAATATGATCAAATTGAAGGCCTTCCAGAGAAGAGCAAACAGAATGGTAGAGTGTGGCATATTCCCAAAGAAGCTTCAGATGTTTAACCTAGAAGAGAGGAATTTTAAAGAGCTCTCATGTGAAAGAACTCAAATTATTCTTTATCACCTCTAATGAGGGTAAAGTTCTGCTTCCCCACACACATGTACAAGGCAAGTAAGTCCACTCACACCTGGTTCTAAATTCCACGGTGTGACTTGTTCCTAAAGATGCTAATGACTCAAATCATTTATTTAAATACTGCATTTTATTTAAACAATGACCTTATAATGACCATGGTCTTTGTAATAATGACCATAGGGCAAAATATCAATGGAATAACCTATCTTTTTGGCATCATGTTTGTTAAGGAGCTGACTCCATCTTATATGGTAATTGTAACAATGTAATAACATCTCATTTTTTATTTGCACCCTGATATTAAGATGACATGTCCTAGATAAAAGTCATCCAATTAACCTGTGAAAATTTGTTCAATGTTACCAATAATTTTTAAACTACAAGAGCTTGCTTTCAATCTATTAGATTGGAAAAGATATAAAAGACTGACAGAAGCTTTTTGCAAAGGTGTAAGGAAATGAACAATTTGGTGTACTACTGAGTAGAATATAAGTGGATATAACCCTTCTGAAAATAAATCATTAAATTTATGACAATACAAAATGTGCAAATGCTTTAACTCAACAATTCTATTTCTAGGAATTCACCTTAAGAAAATAATTATGGATATGCACAATGACTGTTAACATGGACAGTCATTGATTTATACTAATGAATAATTGAAAACAATCTAAAGATACATCTGTGAAAGACTTGTTATGTAAATTATGTATTAGGTATAATGGAATCCCTTGGACTGCAAGGAGATCAAACCAACCAATCCTAAAGGAAATCAGTCCTGACTATTCATTGGAAGGACTGATGCTGAAGCTGAAACTCCAATACTTTGGTCACCTGATGTGAAGAACCGATTCATTGGAAAAGACCCTGATGCTGGGAAAGATTGAAGGCAGGAGGAGAAGGAGATGACAGAGGGTGAGATGGTTGGATGGCATCACCGACTCGATGGCCATGAATTTGAGCAAGCTCCAGGAGTTGGTGATGGACGGGGAAGACTGGTGTGCTGCAGTGCATGGGGTTGCAACGAGTCGAACACGACTTTTAATAATGGAATACATGTGGCCCTTAAAATGTTGAAGTAGATCTATGTGCTGGATTAGTTCCCATTTGACCCGCCAGATCTACATCCTTGTCTTTGACTTCTGGCAGGGTTTGGTCGTTGGGAGGAACTGGCAGAAAATGAATCACTGGGCAGATTGTGCAATCTGAGTATTCCATTCCTGTTTCCTCCTTGCTGAGTCACCCTGGGTGGTGCTGGCCCTCTTTGGAAGCCCTTGGCGTCTGTCAAGAGACCATCTCCTGCCACTTCCCTGCTGGGTAACCACACTTCTCCTTACCCGTTAGACCTATGGTGGTCATAGCTTCAGTTCACCACTGTCACTGTGCTCAGGGCAGGGGGCTTCACCAGCCTTTGTTGTTTCCCTAAACCCTATAATACAGGTTTAGCTTCTGCCATCTACTATTGACAGTTCAAAGACAACAGAGTAAAGAAATGCAGAGAATTTCATCTTAACTAGTCCAAAATTATATATCAAAACATATGTCGCTGCTTATGGGACACAACAAAATTTGGATGCATTCAGAGTTTAAAATGAACAAAAATTTGCAGCTTTTTATACTAACTTAAAAAGGAAAGTATCAAGCTGAGAGTTAAAGAAGGAAAAGTAATGCCACAAAACCCTTTTATAATCAAGTGGGAACATGTCCTGGCATGTCACATTACTGTAAGGACCCACCGACAAGCATGGATTTAAATAAAGCAGTAAGAGCTCCATTGAGGGGAGAAAGGTCAGGTATCTAAACAGCCACATGATTACCTCCTCCAACATACGTTTAAAATAAAAATATGTAAGGTGTGCTAAGTTGCTTTAGTCATGTCTGACTCTGTGCGACCCTACGGACTGTAGATCTTCAGGCTCCTCTGTCCATGGGATTCTCTAGGCAGGAATACTGGAGTGGGTTGCCATGCCCTCCTCCAGGGGACCTTCCTGACCCAGGAATCAAACCCATGTCTCTTACATCTCCTGCATTGGCAGGCGAATTCCTTACCACTAGCATCACCTGGGAAGCCCCACATATAAGGTGATCAGCCTTAATTTTAAAACTTCAGGAAGATTTTTAAATGAGAATACTGTTTTTCTCAATATCAAGACATATTTCATATATATTATGTTTCAAGTTTCTTTTCTAAATATATAAGATATTATCAAGGTTAGCTTTTAATTAATAATTTAGATTGCAGCTGGGATAGGAACAATTTCTAAGCAGCTTTGGATTTTATTTTCATAGGTAGTATGGATTTCGTTTAGCAACAAGGCAGAAGTTCCTTCTAAATCTGTTTTATAAAATGCAGACAAAGGCCCAGAAGTAGGTCCTGAAATCAATTTACTGGATGGAGTGGAAGGGGGCAAGCTGTATTTTTTTTTTGATGACATAAAATAGACTAGAATTATATTAAATAAAAATATTTAAATGTATTTCATATAAGTATACTAGATAATGAAATACATTTAATTTATTTTCATGTACATGTCTGTGTATTGGATAACAAGACAAAATGCATTTTTTTACTATGAATCTTGGTCAAAACTGTTTGAAAGTGTCTATTTTGGTCTAAGATAACCTCTGACAATAATTTTACTGCTTTCAACCAAGGCTGTATAGTAAGGTTAATAAAAGCAGCAGACAGAAGGAAAGGTGAAGATCAAAGCAGAACAAATTTATAGCAAGTGTGTTAGAATAGAGAACATTTTAGCATTATTATCCTAAAAAGAATCTTCACATGGATAAAAGCCATGTTATTTGATTGCCATGACTATAACTTTTGAAGTAGAGTGAAGCAGATGAATAGCTATATTGGATAATTAGTAACTTATCTTTTCTGATAGTTCTCCATGGCAGGCTATTTATTCAGTTATTTTCAAGAAACCTCTGGTGTGATTACAAACAACATGGTTCAAATTAAAAAGTAAGTGAATAAAAATTGTCAGAACATTGTTATATAAGACATGTAAATAAAAAAACATACAGAATAGGTTCCAATTTATGGTTAAAAAAATAACATACAAATAACCAACAAGTATGTGGAAATGTACGCAACATCGCTAATTGTGATAAGCCACTCAGTCGTGTTGTCTCTTTGCAATCACATGGA